ACAAAAACTGACCATATTTTCACTTTATTATGTATATCTATAAAGCCACAAAGTAAATCAGCAATATCTTGTTGTCAGGACGGATTGTATAACACAAATGACAGCAACAGTGCAATACAATGACAACAAAAATTTGTCCTGATCAATCTAGATAGCCAGCATGACCTCTTTTATTCAAAATATTGTCTCGCAAGAAAATTTCAGTAGTTTTGATACCTCAGGCTGACTCGTATAACAAAATTATTTTAAAGCATCAACCAAAACTGACCATATTTGCACTTTATCATGTAAATCTATATATCCGCATAGTAAATCAGCAATATTTTGATGTCAGAATGGATTGTATAATACAAATGACAGCAACATTGCAACACAATGACGACAAAAAATATACCCATCAATTTAGATAGCCAGCATGTCCTCTTTTTAATTAAAATATGGTCTCGCAACAATTTTTCAGTAATTTTGATACCTAAGGCTGACTAGTATAACAAAATTATTTAAACGCATCAACAAAAACTGACCATATTTGCACTTTATTATGTATATCTATATAGCCGCATAGTAAATCAGCAATATTTTGATTTCAGGATGGATTGTATAATACAAATGACAGCAACATTGCAATACAATGGCAACAAAAATTTGTCCCCATCAATCTAGATAGCCAGCATGTCTTCTTTTTATTCAAAATATTGTCTCGTAAGAAAATTTCAGTAGTTTTGATACTTCAGGCTGACTTGTATAACAAAATTATGTTAAAGCATCAACCAAAACTGACCATATTTGCACTTTTAATATTATGTATATCTATATAGCCACATAGTAAAGCAGCTATATTTTATTGTCAGAATGGGTTGCATTATACAAATGACAGAAACATTGCAACACAATGACAACAAAAATTATCCCCATCAATTAAGATTGCCAGCATGTCCTCTTTTTATTCAAAATATTGTCTCGCAACAAAATTTCAGTTATTTTGATACCTAAGGCTGACTAGTATAACAAAATTATTTAAACGCATCAACAAAAACTGACCATATTTGCACTTTATTATGTATATCTATATAGCCGCATAGTAAATCAGCAATATTTTGATGTCAGGATGGATTGTATAATACAAATGACAGCAACATTGCAATACAATGGCAACAAAAATTTGTCCCCATCAATCTAGATAGCCAGCATGTCTTCTTTTTATTCAAAATATTGTCTCGTAAGAAAATTTCAGTAGTTTTGATACTTCAGGCTGACTTGTATAACAAAATTATTTTAAAGCATCAACCAAAACTGACCATATTTGCACTTTTAATATTATGTATATCTATATAGCCACATAGAAAAGCAGCTATATTTTATTGTCAGAATGGGTTGCATTATACAAATGACAGAAACATTGCAACACAATGACAACAAAAATTATCCCCATCAATTAAGATTGCCAGCATGTCCTCTTTTTATTCAAAATATTGTCTCGCAACAAAATTTCAGTAATTTTGATACCTAAGGCTGACTAGTATAACAAAATTATTGAAACGCATCAACAAAAACTGACCATGCATATTTGCACATTATTATGTATATCTATATAGCCACATAGTAAATCAGCAATATTTTGATGTCAGGATGGATTGTATAATACAAATGACAGCAACATTGCAATACAATGACAACAAAAATTTATTCCCATCAATCTAGATAGCCAGCATGTCCTCTTTTTATTCACAATATTGTCACGCAACAAAATTTCAGTAGTTTTGATACCTCAGGCTGACTCGTATAACAAAATTATTTAAACGAATCAACCAAAACTGACCATATTTGCACATTATTATGTATATCTATATAGCCACATAGTAAATCAGCAATATTTTGATGTCAGGATGGATTGTATAATACAAATGACAGCAACATTGCAATACAATGACAACAACAATTTGTTCCCATCAATCTAGATAGCCAGCATGTCCTCTTTTTATTCAAAATATTGTCTCGCAACAAAATTTCAGTAGTTTTGATACCTCAGGCTGACTCGTATAACAAAATTATTTAAACGAATCAACCAAAACTGACCATATTTGCACTTTATTATGTAAATCTATATAGCCGCATAGTAAACAACAATATTTTGATGTCAGAATGGATTGCATTATACAAATTAAATGACAGCAACATTGCAACACAATGACAACAAAAATTTGTCCCCATTAATCTACATGTAGATAGCCAGCATGTCCTCTTTTTATTCAAAATATTGTCTCGCATGAAAATTTTAGTAGTTTTGATACCTCAGGCTGACTTGTATAACAAAATTATTTTAAATCATCAGCCAAAACTGATCATATTAGCACTTTATTATGTCATGTATGTAAATCTATATAGCCGCATAGTAAATCAGCATATAGCCGCAAAGTAAATCAGCAATATTTTGATGTGAGGATGGATTGTATAATACAAATGACAGCAACATTGCAATACAATGACAACAAAAATTTGTCCCCATCAATCTAGATAGCCAGCATGTCCTCTTTTTATTAAAAATATTGTCTCGCAAGAAAATTTCAGTAGTTTTGATACCTAAGGCTGACTCGTATAACAAAACTATTTTAAAGTATCAAACAAAACTGACCATACTTGCACTTTATTATGTAAATCTATATAGCGGCAGCCGCATAGTAAATCAGCAATATTTTGATGTCAGGATGGATTGTATAATACAAATGACAGCAACATTGCAATACAATGATAACAAAATCTTGTCCGCTTTAATTTAGAGTGCCAGCATTTTATCTCTGTATTCGTTATATAAAACTGTCACTAAAGTCAGTATCAGTATCTGTATTTCCCACTTCCATGACTTCTGAATTTGGACGGGTACATCACAGATTCCTTTTGGGCTATTGTGTGATGGGTTGGTCTGCGCATAAGTTAGTCGTGCTTGCTGAGGTGTGATGATTTAAACTCAGTAGTTCAGGATGGTTTGTATCATGTTGTATAATAAAACTATTCCACCTCATCATCCAACAGTGTGACTGACATGACAGATTTCATTTGTACTTTATAATGAAAAGTATGAGAAGTTCTCTTCTAGGAAAAGTATACTGTTAGTATATTATGTCGGTTGGTTGATTTTGTTGGTGGCTAAATATCAAGTGGCAAATATTTCATTCCGTTTCACATAAGTATATTTTTTCGGACGTTCAAGATATCATTTATAATCCGTAAAGACAAATCTAACGAAATTGACGAGATTGTTCATAATTATACAACACCTTATGTGCAATAACACTGTACAATTTTCCTTTGAACATTTTTTGGAAAACAGAATCGTAAATCCAAGGCAAACATAGGTGAATGACGATAAGATATTTATAAAGAGACTGTCAAAAGTGGGGAACGAAGCAACTTTAAAAATGATGTTGATAACCCGTGATATAAAAATACTGTTCCGATGCGTGGATAACCTTTCTATCCGCCTTCTAGTTTAAATAAAATCCTTTCTTTTATGATAACTGCATGTGATCACAAGTGTGTAATTTTAAAGCCATTGTTTAATGTAAATAAGAATATGAAGAAAAAAAAAGATTTTTTAATATGTGTATATTAAATATATATGACATAGAGTCTAACGAGTAAAGTAATTTGCTTTACTGGGAAAAAAGAACAATAGGATTATTATTATTGTTTATGTTTACAATCCGAAAAATTAAAATAAAATGAACTTCGGTTTTAACCAATGAAATGTCGTACACCATTCATTCACACCATTCCCGATCGCACGTTACACAATCACACCATTCCTCATACACCATTACACCATTCCCCTTACACCATACACCTTCTACCATTGCACCATATGCCATACACCATTACACCATACACGTTATTTTGGGAAGTTTACACCATCCAAGGGCTGTATGACTGTTATTTTGTATGTTTGTGTTAACTAAAGCGATAACTTCCAATTAACAGCTTCACATCCTTGGCTACCTTTCTGTAATAGAGAGCACATTTGACTCTACTTTCTAAATTTTTTTTAATTCTTGTTACTAAAACTACTGTTGCCTGAATGTCAATTTGGAACGAAGAAATGTAAGTTTGAAATGAGAACAGATCTACCGGTCATTTGTATTATAAACATCCTTATATCGATGTACCTGTATGGGAAATAACCTTCAAAAATTTAAAAACAAACTTAACATTTTAAATAGGTAAAAAAGATGTTTGACAAGAATTGATACACTAAAACACACCTCTGTTATCACATGTTTTGTTTTTGAAGTGATTGATAGGGAGAAACTATTACAAAATCCGGTTCACAAATGTATATATAAACGTGTTAATAATTCAAACAAAGAAACATTTCTCTATTCAATAACTTAAGGTAAGATAAACGTTGTGTTTCAATGTTTAATCAGCATTTTGTTTTCATCTTTTTTTAATATATGACATGTATGATATAGTTGTATTTCACTGTCAAAACCTGTTCTAATTCCAAAAATAATAGCCATGTCCATACATTTTATACAAAAAATATGCTATGTCGATAAGATTTTCGACAGTTTTGAGGTTGTTGTTGGTTCTTGTCTAAATGGATTGGATACATCTACCTTACATCTGCTTTTATTCCATTGTATTCCCATCATTAATTTACACAATTTGAACATTGTTAATTACTGTCGCCTTAATTTACTCATACCATTACGGTACCGGTGAGATTATTATATTTCGTAATTACAATTCAATTGCGTTATATATTGTGCATTGTTGATATATCATATGTGTCAATCAGAGAAAATTAAAATCGTCTTCTAAGTCCATTGTTTACAATCAACATCATTGCAAACGAAACATAATGCTTTTTGTCTTTATTATATTTTCAAATGTCTCGGATATCATTTATTACATTTTTGTAAGACATGGTTAAGAGACGTATATAATTTTAAATGACAGTCTATATATTAAACAACATACATTTGTCAGAATAATTTATTTCAGAATAACAATGAAGCTAACAATAGTGACCATCGTTTGTGTTGTGCTGATAAATTTAATTTCCGAGGCCTATGGATGTACGTGTCTTCCTGGAACAGATCAAGAAAGGTTCTGTACCGCTACATTTGGTAATATCCGTATATATTTGCAGATATAAAAGAGATTTCGATTTTATAAATTCCTCAATTTTTACATATATTGAATATCTATAATTGTAAAAGACACTAGATAACAATTATTCAGTTGGGAAACGGAAACCTATGATACTTAATTTTTCTCTTTTTAACATAAGGGTCGTCTTATACATTATGCATATTACTTGTACACTGCATCAATACAAGATGAATATGTCTCTAAAACTATTAAATCACGGTATCTTTTTTTTTTTATTTCGGGACAAACCAGCAAGATTTAGATTAGATTAATTCGGCTATTCTGTTTAAGTACTTTATGGACATAACGCTCCTAATGTTTCATCGTATTAATGCTTTCCTGTGTATCAAATGTCTAGGTTTGAGTATTCATGTTGATAAACACTCCGAAGCACGAAATAATTTAAGTGGTTTTAATTTTTTGGTTTTTTTTTTTCATATACATTCGTTTTTACTGTTTCACCGTCAATAATGAAACAAAAAACACTTCAACTCTCCGTATCGTTCCAATACAAAGAGTATCATATGCACCTTTTTCTTCCGGATAACAAAATTTATTTGGCATTTAATTTGTCCTTTTATTCCCGCGGACGTTAAGCACCCCTTTCACAATCGATCAATGAATTTCCAAATGGTACGAAATGCAACAACCTCATTATCATAATATGGCCAGGCATTTGAAATGTGTGTTTTGCAATAAACTGTCTATTTTGTAAATACTAAAACCCCATAAATAATACAGTTTCGATTGTTTGTCCAAATATTTCTACTAAAGGTACTATTTTCTAATTTTGTAATCATGTACCTTATAATGATAATTATTACAATTTTGTTCTTCTTAAATCTTATGTTAAATAAAGTCAACACTTTATTGTTATGAAAATTAAACAGAAAAAACATTACGAAAAATCAATGGCAAAGCAATGCTTTATCTATATTAAATGGTAATCTTGTTTTATCAACTCAAATCATTAAGCTGTATTCTTTGCTATTTCTATTTCTTCCATGCAGTTTTACCTATATACAACCAGTGAGGTTTTGGCCGCCATAATTTAATAAGCTATGATTATATTTTAAAGTTTCACGAGGAAAGGTCACAAGAATTAAGCATCTCAACAGTATTGAAACTGAATACACAGTGGCAGTGGATTATAATTTTAAGGTAATATATAATATGATTATTAAAAAATTCTTGACAGTTGGATTAGAGAGTTTTTAATTAATGTATATTCCATGCAGAATAAGATTTATAAGGCAATTGTTTGGTTAAAAGAATTTGTAAATGAAAATAATTATCAATATTTCAATTTATATCCTCCAAACGTTCACAAGACATCGTCTCGAAAATATCAGTATCTACATTTTTAAATTTTGTCATAAATATTTTATTTTATCCATTCAAAAAAAGTATAACAAAAATGTCGAACTTCAAATTCAAAAAAAAATCATAAAAACTGACAAAACCAAATGCTATCAATTTACGGAAAAAAGTGGAAAACAACTGCCATTTTCTTGACTTCGTACAGGCAATTTCAAAAGAAAATGGTTGGTTAAACCTGGTTTTATAGCTAGCTAAACCTCCGACTTTTGTGACAGTTATTTATAGTTCCGTCATATTGACAAAATTAGATGAACAACCCAAACAGACATACTCGGTCAATGTGACAATAAGACATACAACACAACTGACTACAAAATTCAAACAAACATACAAATAAATCTAACAAATATGCAAAAACAAGGTGTAGATAGTAAATTTGACAGTGACGCCAACAACAAAAGAATGATGTACATACTATTAACTTTCTCAATGAAGAAAAAAAATAAGTGCAAATTTGCCTAAGAATCAGATAGTGGTGAAAACATGACAAACAAAATCCCACTCAAGTTGACATTAATTTCAATGATTTCAATATAAAAATGGTAGCATACGATATAATTGTATTGCTTTGGGATACCATACGACATAATTTGTTATTTTTAAACAAAACGGTAAAACATGCTACACAGTGGAACAAGTGATAAGTATGCATGAGTTTCTTATTGATAACATGTTTGTTGAATTTGGAGGCAGATTTTTTCAACAATTGTCGGCATTCCTATGGAAATAAACTGTGCGCCTCAGCCTGCCGACCTCTTCTTATTTTCATATGAGTCGGAATTCCTTCAGCAATTTGTCATAAACAAGACGATCATAGAAGCCAGATCATTTAATATTACATTTAGATATATTGATGATGTTCTTTCCATTAACAATCTAAACTTTTCTGATTGGGTTCCATTAATATATCCTCCAAAACTAGAAATCAAAGAAACAACAGACACGGCTTCCTCCGCCTCATTTTGAGACTTATACCTCGATTTGACATCAGTGGGCATCTCAGTACCAGAATCTATGACAAACCAGACGATTTTAATTTCGAAAATATTAATCCCCCCCTCCCCACCTTAGCAGCAATATACCAATTTCACCTGCATATGCAATATACATTTTCCAACTCATACTTTGTCTATAGAGTGTCTAAATGCCTTTTTTGTCTTTGTTTAAATAGTTATTCGTTTTATAGTAATTAAGAATATAACACAATGTTGACTGCTGTACCCGAGTTTTTTTACATTTTTACCTTTTATGTCTGTTTGTTTTGTTCACACATTGTTGTCAATAGAATGAAATACTATATGACTGTCATACTAGTGAGAGGTTAAGCTAGCTAGCTATAAAACCAGGTTTAATCCACCATTTTTGACATAAGGAAATGCCTGTACCAATTCAGGAATATGACAGTTGTTTTCCTTTCGTTTGATGTGTTTGAGCTTTTGATTTTGCCATTTGATAAGGGACTTTCCGTTTTGAATTTTCCTTGAAGCTCGGTATTTTTGTTATTTTACTTTTTATGTTCAAATTGTATATAATGGTGCACGAATATAACATTCGTTTACTTTTTCTGTTCTGGTAATTCAAGATATAATTTGGTTGAAATGCACTAGAAACTAACAATTGAGGGGAGCTAACTCCGTAATTTGCTATCATTCTACCCAAAAGTTATCTAGATATTTCTCAAATTATTAGACACGCAGAAACGAAAAACTCACCATTTCTAACTCAAGATGAGGGTAACTTCAAAACAGGATGGTTATGTCAAAACCCAAATTTAAGTTGCGCTGTAAAATAGTTCCAATTTACAAAAATCTCATACTAAAAGAATTACGCATTGCGACAAATTTTGAGTAACTCAAATAATACTTTGGTGGATAGTTGATTCATTGGAAATCACTCTACATCTCCTTTTGTTATATTATATTATATATATATATTGCGGTTTTTATCCAACGCAATCATAGGTTTGAACGTTGTTTTCAATTTAGACTTGTATATATATATATATATATACAGCACAAACAACATTTTCCAAAAGACCAAAAGAGTGAAAAAGTATATTTTAACAAAACGCATTTGACTAGCAGGTCGAACAACTGATGTTCTTAAATCCTGCTGACTGCCATTGGCGATTGCCAAATAAACGGATCACAAGATGGAACAAAATAGATCTTACTAATAATGTATTACCAAACAGAAAACAATAAACTTGCGGATAAGATGGTATACCGCAAACATGAGGTGCAAAAATTTGTACACCATATCCGGATTTCGACAATTAATGTCTCTTCAGTGATGTTAGGAATCGAAACGGTATTTGGAAGGCCATATAATTTACCTCAATTTAGGATAGACTCTTGAATTTTAAAAGAGTCAAAATAGGATGAACGGATCATATAAACCCGAAGGCAAATATAGTACAAGCCCAAACGAAAAAATATAAACAAGTCTAAATTGAAAACAACGTTCAAACCTATGATTGCGATGGATAAAAACCGCAATTTTTATACGTGTGCATGCAAAGCAAATTATTTGGTAGAGGGGTCTAAATACAGCACAAACAACATTTTCCAAAAGACCAAAAGAGTGAAAAAGTATATTTTAACAAAACGCATTTGACTAGCAGGTCGAACAACTGATGTTCTTAAACCCTGCTGACTGCCATTGGCGATTGCCAAATAAACGGATCACAAGATGGAACAAAATAGATCTTATTAATAATGTATTACCAAACAGAAAACAATAAACTTGCGGATAAGATGGTATACCGCAAACATGAGGTGCAAAAAAATGTACACCATATCCGGATTTCGACAATGAATGTCTCTTCAGTGATGTTAGGAATCGAAACGGTATTTGGAAGGCCATATAATTTACCTCAATTTTGGATAGACTCTTGAATTTTGAAAGAGTCAAAATAGGATGAACGGATCATATAAACCCGAAGGCAAATATAGTACAAGCCCAAACGAAAAAATATAAACAAGTCTAAATTGAAAACAACGTTCAAACCTATGATTGCGTTGGATAAAAACCGCAATTTTTATACGTGTGCATGCAAAACAAATTATTTGGTAGAGGGGTCTAAATACAGCACAAACAACATTTTCCAAAAGACCAAAAGAGTGAAAAAGTATATTTTAACAAAACGCATTTGACTAGCAGGTCGAACAACTGATGTTCTTAAACCCTGCTGACTGCCATTGGCGATTGCCAAATAAACGGATCACAAGATGGAACAAAATAGATCTTATTAATAATGTATTACCAAACAGAAAACAATAAACTTGCGGATAAGATGGTATACCGCAAACATGAGGTGCAAAAATTTGTACACCATATCCGGATTTCGACAATGAATGTCTCTTCAGTGATGTTAGGAATCGAAACGGTATTTGGAAGGCCATATAATTTACCTCAATTTAGGATAGACTCTTGAATTTTGAAAGAGTCAAAATAGGATGAACGGATCATATAAACCCGAAGGCAAATATAATACAAGCCCAAACGAAAAAATATAAACAAGTCTAAATTGAAAACAACGTTCAAACCTATGATTGCGTTGGATAAAAACCGCAATTTTTATACGTGTGCATGCAAGCAAATTATTTGGTAGAGGGGTCTAAATACAGCACAAACAACATTTTCCAAAAGACCAAAAGAGTGAAAAAGTATATTTTAACAAAACGCATTTGACTAGCAGGTCGAACAACTGATGTTCTTAAACCCTGCTGACTGCCATTGGCGATTGCCAAATAAACGGATCACAAGATGGAACAAAATAGATCTTATTAATAATGTATTACCAAACAGAAAACAATAAACTTGCGGATAAGATGGTATACCGCAAACATGAGGTGCAAAAATTTGTACACCATATCCGGATTTCGACAATCTATATATATATATACAAGTCTAAATTGAAAACAACGTTCAAACCTATGATTGCGTTGGATAAAAACCGCAATTTTTGTACGTGTGCATGCAAAAGAAATTTCTTGGTAGAGGGGTCTAAATACAGCACAAACAACATTTTCCAAAAGACCAAAAAAGTGAAAAAGCATATTTTAACAAAACGCATTTGACTAACAGGTCGAACAACAAATGTTCTTAAACCCTGCTGACTGCCATTGGCGATTGCCAAATAAACGGATCACCGATGTAATAAATGGATCTTAATTATAAATTCAATACTAAACAGAAAACAACAAACTTGCGGAAAAGATGGTATACCGCAAACAAAATGTGCAAAGGTTTTTGTACACCATATCCGGATTTCGACAATTAATGTCTCTTCAGTGATGCTAGGAATCGAAACGGTATTTGGAAAGCCATACAATTTACCTCAATTTAGGATAGACTCTTGAATTTTGAGGAGTCAAAATAGGATGAACGGATCATATAAACCCGAAGGCAAATATAATACAAGCCCAAACGAAAAAATATAAACAAGTCTAAATTGAAAACAACGATCAAACCTATGATTGCGTTGGATAAAAACCGCAATTTTTATACGTGTGCATGCAAAACAAATTTCTTGGTAGAGGGGTCTAAATACAGCACAAACAACATTTTCCAAAAGACCAAATAAGTGAAAAAGCATATTTTAACAAAACGCATTTGACTAACAGGTCGAACAACAAATGTTCTTAAACCCTGCTGACTGCCATTGGCGATTGCCAAATAAACGGATCACCGATGTAATAAATGGATCTTAATTATAAATTCAATACTAAACAGAAAACAACAAACTTGCGGAAAAGATGGTATACCGCAAACAAAATGTGCAAAGGTTTTTGTACACCATATCCGGATTTCGACAATTAATGTCTCTTCAGTGATGCTAGGAATCGAAACGGTATTTGGAAAGCCATACAATTTACCTCAATTTAGGATAGACTCTTGAATATATATATATATATATAGGCTGCCTCAAGAAAGTGCAGAATTAATGCTTCCGAACACCCTTTTGTGGATATTAATCAATTCCTACGGTCCATGCCACCCTTTTTCTGTATTAAAAAAAACCGTTGTAACACCTCTTTTCTTCCAAATGTTCTAATAATTAATTAAAAAGAACACAATTTCATGTTAAACAACCTTCAATCATAAACTTTTATACTAGCAACGGTACCAATATTACTGCATAGATACTTTTTGACAGTTTGTATGTTTTCAGTGATGCTTGAGGTCAAAATATTCGAAATTCAAATCCTAATTAAAACGACAACGAGCTGATCAAACAAAAAAAGACCAAAAATATACCTGGAACAGGAAACAGATCTGAACATGATATAGATAGATTCCTTATTCTAAAAACGATTTAGACAAATATTGCAGCATATTTCAATTAAAGCAATATGCGAATTTTTTGCCAATACGGTAGTACTGTAACTTCATACACACAGTAGAAATCATATCAAGGGATGACAATTAAAATTTATGAGACATAATTTAAAAGCAAAGAGAGGGTTTCGTAACAAGTCGATTTTGAGCTCAAACAAAAAAATCATACCTTATTAATCTTTTCATATCTTATTTATGTTACAGATCAAAGTTCCAAGTACACTCAAAGTTCGTGCTAACAGAAGTTCAGCTGCGTGTGGGGTCAATTTTCAGAAAGGAGTTGTATATTTGATTTCAGGTGAATAATTCCATTACATTCCAGCTTGGGGAAGGGATCTGTTTTTGACTAACTTCTTCAATGAAATGTTCATCGCATTTTCTCTTTACGCGAGTCATAGAATTTTACTCCCCAATTCTGACTGGACGTGGCTTTGTACTTGTGTATCCTGCACAGCCAAACGGACGCCCCACTTTTGCAAGGGTTTTACTGGTGGTTGGAGGAAGACCATGAGTGACCATATTTCTATGTCTCAGTCAACCTAAGGGGAACAGAACCACGTGCAATGCCAAGATAAAAGATAACGTATCATGTAGTTCAATTACTTCATTTCTCTGCTGAAAGAATGCAATACAATGTAATGCTCAAAAGTAGGTAGGACCAAAGCATTAACTGCAATGATGATGATACAAACAGGAATATGGGTTCATAAGGGGGTGTATGAACCAGTTACGTATACCTATAAGGTACCAGACCACTCGATACCTGAAGCTGAGTTTACGATCAAGGATTAATCAAACAGTTGTTATATGTAAGTGAGTTTTCGTGCTTCTTGTCAATCTGATGAGTCAAGTCGTGTCCAACTAATTTTTACATTAAGTCATATTGGTTGTGATGTTACAACACTGTCCAAGGTAAGGGGAGTCTTGGCCGCTTATAAACATGTTTAACCCCACCACATTCTATATGTGCCTGATCCAAGTCTGGAACCTGCAATTTAGTGGTTGTCGCTTGTTGCTAGCCCTAATATTTATTTTTTGTCATAAATAAGACCAATGATTTTTCGTTTGAATCATTTCACATTTTGTCATGTCGAGGCCCTTTACAGCTAATTATTCGGTATGGTTTTGTGCTATGTATAGACCCTACGGTGACCTATAGGTGCTTAAATACACGTCATTTTCCATTAGTGACTAAACAGGCAAATTTTGCTAACGTGAATTCTACATGAATCTCACGCGAAATTGTTCACATGAATTTCAAGTGAATTTTACCCCCAAAATAATTTTATTGTTGAAAGATTTTAATTAAATTTGAAAATCTATATGTTATTGAACAACTCTACTTTGAACATTCATGTGAATTTCACGTGTAAAAAATGCATGTGGTAATGTATAAGCTCGTTTAAGGTGGAATTCACGTTAATTTTACGTGAGATTGACGTAAATCTCAATTTACAAGAAATTCACATGAGTGAAAAGTAAAATAACAAAAATACCGAACTCCAAGGAAAATTAAAAACGGAAAGCCCTTCATAAAATGGCAAAACCAAAAGCTCAAACACATCTAACGAAATTTCCCTTTGTAGTTGTCTTATTCAAAATCATACCACATCACCTTATTTTAAACTGTAATCGTGAATGGCTTCAGAACACACTATAGAGCTTTGTTGCTTTTGATTTGTTTCAAGTTTGATAATAGATTTATCATATAGAAACACAGAACAATGGCAACAAGAAGGATAATCTGTATCAGAGTTAGATTTCAAATGAATGAAGGTGGCAATTTATCCAACATGATAGAAACATATCATATGTATTAATGCATAACTTGTTCATATTTCAGGAACTGTAAGCAAGTCCAGATATAGAGTAACATACCTGACAAATAGTTGCCTGTGGAATCAGAAATGGCAGAGTACTAAGTCAGACACACAACAAAAACTCTTAAGTGGACAATTTAATCGTTGTTAGTCGTAATATCACAAAGACGATTAAAGTGGTTTCTGTCTAATGCTATAACTTGTTACACGAGTCATGCAAACTAGATAAATTATCGAAAAAAGTGTTTATTTGTGATAAGATAAATGATTTTACTGTAACATTATTTGTCAGAATTAAGTTATCGGTTCGATTACTGCTGTCATTTGATGGGATATTAAAAAAGGTAAAAAAAAAAAACTCCAAGGAAAATTCAAAACGGAAAGTCCCATATCAAATTGCAAAATTAAAAGCTCAAACACATCAAACGATTGGAAAACAATTGTCAATTTCTGGCTTGGTACAGGTATTTCCTTACCAATGGTGGATTGAACCTGGTTTAATAGCTAGCTAAACCTCTCACTTGTATATATGACAGTCGCATAAAAATCCAGCAAAACAAAGAGACATAAGAGAGTAAAAATGTCAACATTACTCCTATCATTCGTAGTATTTTATTTTCTTAATGGTCTAAGTTGTTGATTTACAAATATCATTAGCCTGTCAACTGTAATGGTTCTGGAATTAAGCCCAGCTCGTTGCGCGGTGTTTGTGACTTCTATATTTATTGACAGGAATAGCAAGTTTTTAGTTCCTGGTGATTGTCTCCGGGTAATTCAGCGTTTTCCATATAAAACAAATATCTAGTATATTGATAATTTAAAAATGAACAGCCAAATTAGAGTACACAAAGGAACAGAGTTAAGGTATAGCACCGTAAACCCAAAAAAACACAACCGAAGCCAAGTGGTTAATGCTCTGTTTTCCAAAATTCGGGTAACTGTTGATGTTGCATATTGTATATACTGTGGATTCATTTACTTTCGTAAAGATCTCCGTCGGCTGACATTATAAGATCTCCGTCGAATGTTAGCAGCCTTTCTAGTGAAGAGATATTTTAAAGTCAATATCAACTTATATCGAATTACAAATGTAGTAGTACTTTCTAGGCTAATAAAACACAATAGTTCTTCTGAGGTGGATTCGTTTTTATTTCTTGACAAAATCAGGATGATAACAATAACTAAATAAATACCCTCGCATGAGGTGCAAAGGCCTCCTGAATAATCTACATGGAATGAATCGCATCGTTCCAGGATTACTTAAAATATACCTGTATATAGAATATAGAAAACTAAGAAAGAATATATATCAAACTTAGAAAAATATCAAACACATATGACTATGTCCACCATTATATCAAAAGTGATGACCAGAATAAAGAACAAAAGAAATATAGCGCCAAAACATAATATCCAATAGAAATAAAGAAAGTGTGCTGTCCAATGAACCATGAAAAGAAAGCCTTTTAAGTAAAATACAGTGAAACCAAAGTTACCCAAACCAGTAGAAAATGTCGTCTGTCAATAAGTCCAAATGTCAAATAAGTAAATAAAATGAACTAAGCAAATAAATATACAAATTAATTAATTACAATCTGTAATTAATATACTCATACCTTTAATTAATCATTATAAGTCATATAATATAAAAAATACAGTACTCTAAACTAAATATAGAAATATACATAATTACTGTAAAACTTATAAAATTCAGTCTACCACACAAATTGTCCAGTATATTAGTAAAACATAGCAAAAAATCACCTTAGAATGGACGATTCCAAATCTTATTGTAATAATATGATAGATAAACAGTTCTCACACTGATTTACACATTCATATTACATCATAGAAAACGAACCGATTGAATGACAGTATTGTTTTAAACTATTAACTTCATACAAATGTTTTTGCTTAAACTAAACACCGTGAAAAGATTTTGTAAAAGTAATAAATATAAGGAGCATATATTTATATTTAGAACTTCAGTTTCTTTAAAATAACTATTTCTTTTATCTAATAACTTCTTAACAGGCATCGTTTACAACTAACCAATGCATAGAAATTTTATTTTATATATTAACGATTTGATATTAAAAAAATGAAAACAACACTTTATAAAGTTCATGCGTCGGAAGCGATTTTCTGGATTTACCTTCATCGGGAACGCTCAAAGTCGAATATTTGAAATCCTAGGATGCATAATAATCGAACCAGCTGAAGAGCTATGACAAAAAAGGACCGAAAATATCCAAATCCATCTAAGAGCTTTATTAGCAAAAAGGGCATAAAAAATAGCCAAATAAATAAACCTGTTGGTTTACACGAATGGACTCTCGGGTTACTGATAACAAAGACTATACAATTTAATATTGAAAGTATGCGTAGATCATGCAAAAACAGGAAACTCAATATATTCTCTCCTGTCATCGAAAGGTATTTTTTGGAGGTTCAGTTAGCGACAATCGGAGAAACGTTAATATTTCTTTAAAGTTGAGTTTACTCGTTAATCGTCATGTACGGTATCCCATACTCACTCCAACTGATTTAATTTTGAAGTTCAAATTTGCTTCATTTTGGTCGTTTGATCTGGAAATCGTAAAAAAAAAAACAAAAACTGCTGTTTTACATCTTCAAGATTTTACTGGTAAAATAAAGTTAAAAAATTAATAAACAACATCATTAATTACTGATAACACAAAGTACAAAGATTGTTAGATTTAATATTAAAAGTATGCATTGTTCATACAACAACAGGATACGAAATTAGTCGTTATAAAATACTATTTCGTGTGTATGTTTTTCTATTCTAAATGCTTACATGAAACCTCACTTGCAAGGTCTAGTAAACCAATTTATGCGGTTATTGAGATCTGAAACGCTCTTTAGAGACTGAACAATTAATGATATGGTCATTTAAAGTCTTTCAAACACTTTTCAGACTTCTCAACTGCGGAAATTTAACACAAAAATTCAGACAATTTCGTTTGCAGTGAATCAAGTAATTGGTATATATCTGTACACATCAACATTATACTTATTGTCTGAAAAGCTACTGAGCAGTACTGAATTGACTGCAAGTGCTTTGCCTAGACAGTACTGAATTTACCGCAGTGGATAAGTTTGAAAATTGACCTGAAGACTGAATATGACTTAATAATCTATTGTTCAGAATTTTCAGATGGTGTTAAAATCAAAATTACCGTTTAAGACAAAAATTCATTTACTAGTGAAGATCGAAAAACTTATTTTAAATTAAAGAAATACTGCATGATAAAAAAAAATATCATAAGAGGGGCATCTTGAGGTGTAATACCACCATTGATTTTCCCCTATTAGTCTTTGTTAAATTTGCACTTTTCAAAAAATTGTGCAGAATTTATCTTTGTTTCAAATAAAGAAATACTTGGCATGAGTAAAGTTTGATCCTGACCAGTACTATAGAAAACATTTCACATAACATTTCATTGCATATAAGAAAATAACCATCACTGGAAGTTAACCAATCAAATTTTCCCCCTTTTTTAACCTGTTTATAAGCTTTAGTAACCATGTAACCTCAAGTTTCCAAAATATTCTATAGAAACCCCAAATAAAAAAAAATGGTGCTTTGAAATACCCAAGATATATGTTTATGACCCAGAAATGTTTTACTGCAATGAAATGTAGGATCAATTGTCTACAATTGTCAAATTCAAGGGAATATTTTTTTTCGACCTATTTTCGTATGCAACCGGATGTGACGTACTATTATTTGGTGGTATTACACCTAAAGAAGACTTTTTTGTTAAATAAACTGAATGTGACTTTTTTCCTTTGTAATAATGGTTATTTCAAGCATTCCTGTCAAGTTTTGTCATAATCAGTTCAATGGTTTGAGAAAAATCTAGTATAATGTAAGACGACATCTACAGCGATTCCAGCTAAATTTCTTCGAAAAATCCAAACCAAGCCGCATCATGATAGAATATAGTGTGGACCAATAAATGATCAAATATTTATCTCATCTGCCTACAAACAGTTGAATATGATACAAAAGATGACTTTAGGATGATAAATACTACTAATGGACCTAGTCTTCTTTATAAGGTCTCTTTTGGTCCATTTATACGTCTCATTTCCTCAAAATTTCTACTTTATAGGCCAATAAATAAAAATTTTGGGGTAACTTTCACTCATTTATGATAGAAATGTTATAATAAATGATTAATTGAAGTATTCAAGCTGAATGAACTATCCGTATAAATGTTTACTGTCTCCAAGGAGGTTTCCATAAGTCCTTACGTAAAACTTAAATTTACGCCGCGTTCCAGAGAGGGACATAAAAAGCTTCTCTTTTGGTGAATAATTTGTTGTTACTGCTTTAAAATTATTTCATTTACTTAAAACTATATATTTATTAAAGTATTTCTTAGGAAAAATTTTCTAGTATAGCAGAATATAAGAAAAAAGGAGAAAAAGCTCCCCAAAACTCTAAGTATGGCTTATTCTGTCAACTAATATTCATGGTAAAGTCCTATTTCAAGGAAATTTTCTCATAAAATGTGTTTTGGAGACTCAATCCACTCAGAATATTTCATTATTAGTAATATTTCACTTAAATAGCAAGAAATTTTAACACATGAGAGTACTCACAAGGTCAAAGGTGCATGTACAGCTTCCCATATTAGGTGTAATACCACCATTGATTTTCCCCTATTAGTCTTTGTTAAATTTGCACTTTTCAAAAAATTGTGCAGAATTTATCTTTGTTTCAAATAAAGAAATACTTGGCATGAGTAAAGTTTGATCCTGACCAGTACTATAGAAAAAATTTCACATAACATTTCATTGCATATAAGAAAATAACCATCACTGGAAGTTAACCAATCAAATTTTCCCCCTTTTTTAACCTGTGTATAAGCTTTAGTAACCATGTAACCTCAAGTTTCCAAAATATTCTATAGAAACCCCAAATAAAAAAAAATGGTGCTTTGAAATACCCAAGATATATGTTTATGACCCAGAAATGTTTTACTGCAATGAAATGTAGGATCAATTGTCTACAATTGTCAAATTCAAGGGAATATTTTTTTTCGACCTATTTTCGTATGCAACCGGATGTGACGTACTATTATTTGGTGGTATTACACCTAGACATGATACTTCAATTAAAAAATTATCTTCAGATTTTGATGACAAAGATATAAGTAAGTTTTTACAGTTACTTCAACTCGACCATGTCGTTCAAAAAATGTAC